ACCCCCAGAACCTCAGAATGTGATTTTATTGAAAATGGGGTCCTTGTAGATGTAATTAAGATGGAGTTGTAATAGAGAGGGTTGGGTCCTAATCCAATGGGACCATTAAAAGGGGAGATTTGGACACAGACACAGACACAGGGACAGCCTCACTCCTCCCCCTCCTCAGCCTAAACTCATTTCCATCATTCTCACTTGCCTCTCAACATGCACACCCCCTCACCCTGCCTCAGTGTCCACCAGTCCTCCCATGTTTACTCTTACAGTGGAGATTCTCAAACTTTCTCTGTTCATGTTCTCAATAATTCATTGATGGCGCCCCCTGCCCAAGAGAAATGCCTGACAGTTCTATTTATTAATTAAGTTAGTCCAAACAACTCAGTAACAGTGGACTGGGTGGGTTTGATAGAGGCCTCCATGTAGCCTGGGGTATTTTAAGGACCCCCATAAGTTTGCTGATGTACCCCTGGGTACTTCAACTCATAGTTTGAGAATCACTCTTACAGTCTGGATTAACACCCCTCTTTTTTTTTTACTTGCATTTCACTCAAGGGGCTTATCTATGGCCTAGGTAATCTCACCTAGTTAATTTGGGGGTGCTTTCAACAGAGGGGATCTGAGATCTCTGGCTCCTAAGATTCCAGTCAATACTTTTCAAATTCTCTCACTTCTCACTCTTTCAATTCATCTCAGATTAGATGAGTGTGGCCAGAAACAGCAGAGAGTCAAGTTTTGGGGGAGGCAGGGCTCAGGTTGCCCATACTGGTGTCTGTGGCCTGGGCAGGGAAAAAAACTCAGTTCCATGACTTGTCCTCTGGTCAGCCGTCACTGCAGTTCTGTCCTCACACTGGGAAGGAGAACAATGCAGAGCCCATTACAAGGACCACAGGTGATCGGGGGCACAGCCAGGGTCCCAGGGAATGATGCAGAACAGTCCTCTCCTTTCCCTTCAACTGTCAGTGGACCCAGGTTCTACCTTGCTTGGCATCAGGGAGTCTTCCCTAGTCTCCCTCCATCCTCCCATCATGGTGCCCTCTACCTCTCCACCCTTGGCCCTCCCTCAAGGGCACTTCTCTTTCCTTAGGGTTGCAGGCCTAGGCATCTGTAAGTGGCGTCCTGCCCTTGGCACCTCTGTGGAGTCTAGATTGGGAGGAGGCAGGCAGGGGTCCCTCTCGGATATTTTGGGTCCTGCCCATTGTGAGGGAGGAAGGGAATCCCCTCTCTGGGGCTACCTCAGTGATATTTGCACAAGATCAGCTCTCTTCCTCTTGTCCATAGGGGTTATCCCAGGCACCCTGGCCTGTTGTGCTCTCAGTCCCTGGTAACAGGTTTAATGTCACTCATTGGTCTGATTCTGGTGCCCTATCCTGCCACACGAGAAACCCAGATGTTGACATTTCTCAATACTGTACTTCCTGAGCCTCTGCAGCCTGACTCACTGTTGACATGACAATCCATTCCCCTGCCCAGGCACTTAGCTCCACCCCCCAGAAAAAAAGGGGAGGGTGAACTGAATCCCAAAGACTAACTCTTGCACACCCTGCCCTAAGTTGTTTAAAAAAAATACTACCACAAAACTATAGCACTAGAATGAAACCCGACAGTGTCAGGGGACAGAAGCCAAGGAGTACAGTTCCAACTGGTCATGAAATTAGGTTCTGAGTCCCCCACAGCCAAGGCTAAGAAAGGATAGGACAATGGTCACTCTCACTCTCAAACAAAAGGGGGCTTCTGGATTCCCTAGGAGAGCAAACTTTTCTGTCTTGGACTTCTGCAAGGTGATTTGTTGTGACTTTATGTTAAGGAGATTAAATAAATCCAACGATATATTCTTGAGAACAGTTTTATTTAAAATAATAATAATAATAAGGCTGGATATGGTGACACACCCGTAATCTCAGCACTTTGGGAGACTGAAGTGGAAATATCACATAAGCCCAGGAGTTCAAGACCAGCCTGGGCAACATAGTGAGACCCTGTCTCTACACAAAAATTTAAAAATTAGCTGGGTGTGGTGGTGTGCACCTGTAGTCCCAGCTACTCGGGAGGCTGAGGCAGAAGGATCACCTGAGCCCAGGAGGTCAAGGCTGCAGTGAGCCATGATTGTGCCATTGCACTCCAGCTTGGACAACAGAATGAGACCCAGACATAAAAAAAAAAAAAAAGATTAGATCTAAAGGGATGTGAAAACAAAGGATAACAGTGTAGGAAGTATATCTTTTCCCATACCTCTTGGCTGTGCTGGTTGAGTGCATTATGATAGCTGTAATTGTGGCATCCTGTGTGTGTCTTTGGGCATAAGGATGTTTATTGTATGGATCTTAAGGGAAATAGGTACTTGAATCACATGCTGAAAAACATATGATATAGGATTCAGTAAGAGAGTTCTCATGATTTGTGTTGTTCCTGGAGTTGGAAATGGGTACAAATCCAACAAGAGGACAGATTACTAAATGGACTGTTGCCTGGGTCATTCTTAGTGGTGGGTTAGGGGAAAATGTGTTTGGCCTAAAGGAGGTAGGAACAAAAAGTAAATTCATAGAACATGGTTCCAGGACTGAGATTTGATCCTGAAAGAGAGAGACAAATAGCCATCAGCATCATGTTTAAAAATACACACAAAGACATCCATTTGAACGTTACAATGAGTTTGATAATTGCCTTGTTGCATCACCTTGAGCAGAGACTGCCCACTTCTGGAGCTATCTGCTTCATCCACAGACCTTTGTCCTGCTTCTGGAGGCTTTGTGGCTACCCTGCCTGAGGTAGCTGCTGTGAGTACACCCACTGATCTAGATTTGTAGCCTGTTTTTACTATGATTCGTGAGCACTTGGGTCAACACCTCAGAGCCTGAAAGCCCTGCATTTTTCACGAAGGCCTGAGATAGTCCCTTCCAAAGAAGTTGAAGAAGTTTTAGCCTTGACGTGTCTCCCAGTAGACCCAGACTTCGGACTGGACAAGTTTAGGTGGCATTTCCTTCAAATGACATTTCCTTTTGGCACACGACTTAGTATGTGAGGTATGTTCTTGACAGTACACAACTCTGTACATAAAACAGGGCAGAACCAGGCCTTGTTGAAGTTACTCCTGATCACACAGAACAATTCATAATGATCTCATGGGAAGCCAGACTTTGTGAGCCTCAGAGCTGGTCTCATCAGCAGCCTGTTGCCCACTCAGAAGATCGTTGACCCAGGAGTTAAGGTATCATTTTCTACTTACTGGTAAAAGCCAAGGCTGCGTAGCCAGTAAAGCAAGTTCAAATCTCAAGCCTCAGGCAGATCAAGGGCTTTTTATCATCACACAGTATCTGACTGATTTGCTATTTTGTGTCCAATGGGATGATTCAGACAGTGAAATGTCTAGATAGAAGAAGGACCCTCCGGTACCCAATTTCCACAACCTCTCAACAAGAAAATAGATATTATCCATGTTGAAAATAAAAGGTCTAGCAAGAGGCAAACTTGTCCATGACTCTGAATCCTGTCTTACCCTTACAGACTTGCCTGGGTTATATTGTTTGCAGATGAGACATGACTCTACCACTTCTAGGGCCAATTCTGAAAATTTTCCTGACCAATATATATTGAGTGTAAAACTTAATGTGATTTTTTTCCCCCATAGTGTGAACAGTTATAGAGTAATTTAACTAGGAGGGATCATGGCACTAATGGGCAACTGTCCTGAGATTACCAGATTATATCTTGATTGCGAAGGTATTTTTGAGATTGCCAATATTATTTTCCAGACATTTGCATAGACTTTTGTGAATCAGTCATATATGGACCCAGTTTTCCTTCTGAAAATTTGGCAGATAGATATCAATTACTATTCTAGAATTACAGTAGTAATTTTTTTTTTAGCATGAAGTCCATGGAAACACAGACCTTGACTTCTAGGATGGTCTCTCAATTAGGGACTTCAATCTGAATATCTGATATCGCCTGCAGATGATCTCACCTCAAGAACCTTACCTTCCTTATAACTGCAAAGAGCCTTTCTCCAAAAAGACCATGTTTACAGATTCCAGGTGGACATAATTATCTTTGGAGGCAGATTCCATTCAACCTCTTTCATCCACTTTAGAGGTGAGGAGGATCCTGTAAGTCAGAACAGGAAAGGGTTCTGATTTATAGCCCCTCTGAGCCAGAGCCCCCAGCCTGGCTCTGAGTCCTGGCCCAGACCAGTTACCAGTTCTCCTGATGTCAGACTCGACCTACAAAACACAGAAAAGAAGTGAACACATAGATTTGTTGTAACAATTAAACGTGTGTGTCTTAGCACAGTGCTGGGAGAGGTCAGCATGAAATGCCCCCATCTAATCTCAATAGTGCTAAATTCATTTGAGCACAGGCCACAGCCTGAGACATGTGAGACTCAGATACCTGCTTCTCCCAAGGTCCCTGGCAGTTGGGCTTAGCCTGGTGTGAGACAGTGACTAGGTCTGGCTTCAAGCAGGCCCAAGAGTTGCTACTTGTTATCTCTCTATGCCTAATGGTTCTTCTACCAGGTCTTGAGCCATGGAAAACTGATGTCATAGATGCAGGGTCCATCAGATATGACAGAGAAACACTGAGATTCTCCCCGGGAAACGTGGAGTCCACTGCCCCTGTCCCCAAACCCTGGACCCCTAGAAACCTGACTTGTCCTCTGTGGTTGCAAAGAGTTCCTTCTGTGGACAGGAGGCCTGCGACGGCCCCTGGCCTCTGCATCTGTGTGTAGGGGAGGGTTGTAGGGTGGAGTGAGGAGGGGGCTGGGGTAGGACTTCTGGTGACATGTGGATCATTCTTCCATCTCATGTCTTTCCGGGGCTTGTCAGGAAGCTTGGAGGTGAGCACGGCAGAAAAAGCACCTGCCACTAGCACTGACCAGGAAATAGAAGATGTATAAGGCTCAGCATGCCTGGGGCTATGGGAAGCAAAACCCTGACCCTTCCCAGCACAATTCAAAAAAATTTTCCTGCCCACGACCATCACTCGGCAAAACACCAGGACAAAAGATGTCTCAACCAGACTGGCCGGACGAGGAGAAGGACACTGGTTTGCTTGCCGAAGAAGTCAGCTTTCTCGATTCGAACTTTCAGTCACCACCTGAAACCAGCAGCCAACCCTGGACAAAGGTAAGTCCTATGAAGGAATGTCCAGAAAGGGGGCATTCTGGAGCCAACTAGTCTACCCACTCCTCCTGCTGCTAGCACAGCTAGAGTCTCACAACTCTTCCAATCATGTCTCATGAGTACCAGGGACGTACATAGACCCTGCAGCAGCAATGAGCCTCTGAGACGTGAGTCTGGGGACTTCTGTGTCCTGGGGTCTCCTTCCTGAGGTCTCTGAGACATGGATCTCCTTCCTGAGATTCTAAGATGTGGATCTGGGGGCTTCTGCTCTGTGTCCTGGGGTCTCCTTCCTGGGGTCTCTGAGATATGGATGTGGGAATTTCTGTTCTGTGTGCTGTGTGCAGTGGTCTCCTTCCTGGGGTCTCTGAGTCATGGGTCTGGGGACTTCTTTTCTGTGTGTTGGGATCTCCTTCCTGGAGATTTTCTTCCAGTTACTCTTGCAGCCCTCACGACATCAGTCCACCCACTCCCACCATCACCATCATCACCCCAGGGCCCAGCATCCCTCTCCTCACTGACTGGGCACTCTTACCCCCTTGGAGCTCATTCCCTACTTAGTGCTCTCCCTGGAAGCATCCTTCTTCACTGGCAGCCAAATCTCCCTGCATCCGCAGAAACAAGGCCTCAATAGGAGCAGAAGGAAGGGTTCTCTCCAGAGTCACCTTTCCTTCCCCTCCTCCCCCTCCTATCTGCTGCCCAACATCCTAGCTACACAGATTCTGCCACTAATTCCCCATAATGGTGGGAACCTGTAAGGGGCCAAGGCAGTGGTGTGTGTTCTGCCTTCTCCAGGGATCTGAGAGCAGCCTGTTCTGCCAGTATGAGGAGAAGGTACGCCCCTGCATCGACCTCATCGACTCCCTGCGGACCCTGGGCGTAGAGCAGGACCTAGCCCTGCCGGCCATTGCTGTCATAGGAGACCAGAGCTCTGGCAAGAGTTCCGTGCTGGAGGCACTGTCGGGAGTCAGCTTGCCCAGAGGCAGTGGTAAGGGTGGGCTTGTTCGCTCCCCGTGGGTAGTGGTGGGGGCGTGGGGCGTCTGAATCCAGATTCCCATCTTTAAAGGGCCATTGCTGCCCTGTGTGGCTCAGGGTCCAGGGGCTTTGCTGTCTCTTCTAGTGATCTTTGTAAGAGTGTAGAATCTTATCTTCTTTGATTGGGTTAAATTGGTGACACATGAAGTCTTTTGAAAGAATTTTCTCAAAGTTTTGAAAAACTATCAGCCAGAATTATGGTGTAATAAGACACATGGGCATTGGCACTGGCATTCCATTGGCATTGGCCTTGAGAGGATTCCTTTGCCACTCCTTTGATGCTCAGCTTTTCCTCAAGACTCTCGCCACCTTCTCCCTGCACCCCCCAGTCCTAAGCATTTTTTTGGGGAGCACTGGGAAGAGTTAAATGTGCCTGGGAAGATCTCACTGTGTCACATTCCCTCTGCCCCTCTGCTCAGGGCTACCCACCAGGATGCTTGCAGGGCCTGGGGCAGACACCCAAGGCACTGACCCCAACTGCAGCAATACTGGAGAACCTGAGGAGGTACTGGAACCCTGGGATCAGCTTGTGTCACTCACAAGGCAGCTTGGTGGGGACAGTGGCTATGGCCAGCTGCTGGTAACCGCCAGAATCCAGGATGGCTGCTCCAGCTGCAAACACCTCCCGAGGACAGCAGTGCCTCCTGGAGTACTGTGCCCCTTTGCTCCTGTCCATTCCAGACCCATCTCACATAGTGCTGGGCCCCAGAAAGAACCAGAGTTTCAGACAAGGTCTCTGGGGACACCAAAGGAGGTCCTGGGAGCCAAGAGATGAGCTACATTTCATTTAAAGGACACTTAGGATGTTTGCGGACTCTCTCTCAGGCATCGTGACCAGGTGTCCACTGGTGCTGAAACTGAAGAAGCAGCGGCAGGAGCAGGTGTGGACTGGAAGGATCAGCTACCGGAACGTTGAACTGGAGCTGAAGTATCCCCTACAGGTGGAGAGGGAGATCCACAAAGGTGGGCCCTCGTGGTCAGTCTTGGTGGCTGCTCCCTGGTTCCTCCTCCTCCTCCTCACATCCATTGCCCCATGGGGTCCACTCAGCTTCCTGAAAACATGCAATCCCTGCATGGGGCTGCCCCCATGCTGTCACCTCCACCATCCCTCTAGGCCCTTCTCCAGGTCACCCCTCATGGAATCAGCCCTGCTGAAGGAAGACCCTCGCTGGCTTCTCTCAGTGGCCCACAGCCCACGTGGCTGGCTCATCCCATCCTTGCTCCCATCTCCCATCCATCTTTGGGCTGCCTCTGTTCCATGAGAAAACAAGCCCTCTCTCCCTTCTAGGCTCTTCCATGTGCTCATCCCACAGTTTCCCCTCCTCTTTACCTACCTGATCCTTCCTCGTTCTTTGGGTTTCAGTTTACCTGCTTCTCCTTTAGAAGTCTCTCCATAGGACCACCAGGCCTACCCTAGCTGTCATGATCATCACCAGCCTTCCTGAGGTGCCTCTAACCCTGGGGGCCTCATGGAGGTGACATTTCCACCCAGACTCCCCCAGACAGGGGCCCTGCCCACCCGCCATTCCTTGAGGCACAGCCGGCATGTGGCTGTTGATCAAGTTTCCCAGTGCTTATTCTTGGCAAGGACAAATTTGTAAAAAGGCTCAATTGCTCCTGGAGTCCATGGCCATGTGCCCCAGAGGGTCCCTTGGTGGTCTCCCCTCAAGTACATAGCCCTGCTGCCTCAGGCAATGTTGCCTCTCTTCCCTACCTGCAGGCTTCTCCCCTTTGCTGCTTCCACAACCCATCCTGCGGCTCAGCCAGGGCAGGCAAAAGTAACACTGAATGAACCAAGAATATCTGTAGGTATGAACTTAGCTCAAGGCAGGCTTTCTACATTTCTGAATAGCATACTCAGTGTCTGAGGAGGAGACATTTAGATGTCCCTTTTGGAGAATTTCATCTGCTTGTATTAAAGAGCTCTCCAGGGATTCCTTCCCAAATCAAGAAGTTCTGTCCCCAGTTTTAGTGTTTACCCCTCAATGCAGAAGCTGCTATAGACCCTCAATTGGCAAGTTTCCCAACTTCAAAAGTAAAAGTTCTGCACCCTGCTGTGCCCAGCACAGCTGCCATGGTGCCCTTGAAACATCTTGCATTATTTGTTGATGTCTATCTGGAGTGTCTCCAGCCATGGGTTCCATGGGGCAGACCCTGGAGAGCTATGTCTAGCAGAGTGCCACGAGGGAACATGCTTGGCGAAGGTATGGGATAAAAATGACTCATGAGCAAACCATGGCCAAGACATCTTCAGAATAGCATTTCAGAACCCCATTCTGAGATGTGTCAGTTGGGGAGTGTAAGTTGGTGCAACTACTTTGGAAAACTTTGGCAATCTCCACCAAAGCTGTTGGCAGGAGGCTACAGTTTCTCACCTTGTGGACTTCTCCATAGCTACTTGGTGTCCCTGTGACAAGAATGAGTCATGAGCAAACTATGACCAAGACATCTTTAGAATAGCATCTCAGAACCTCCTTCTGAGATGTGTAAGTTGGGGAGTGTAAGTTGGTGCAACCACTTTTGAAAACTGTTTGGCAATCTCCACCAAAGCTGTTGGCAGAAGGCTACAATTTCTCACCTTGTGGACTTCTCCATAGCTACTTGGTGTCCCTGTGACAAGGTGGCCCACTTCCCCTGGAGCCAGTCATCCAAAAGGAAGTAAGGAAGAAGCTGAGATTCTTTAGGAACTGGTCATATACTATATCTGTTTGTTTGAAACAAGTCCCTGTCTGTATCCATCCCACACTCAAGCTTCCATCTTTTGGGGGGAGAATGTTGGAGAAATTGTGGACATATTTTAAAACCACAACAGCACTCATTGGAAAATGTTGGAAAACATGAAGTAAGAGCAGAACCCATCCACAATCTCATGCCTAACATATTGAAATGTTTTTCCCTGGTCTTTTGGGGAGTATATGTACATGCTGCCTTCATATTAAACTGCCAACTCAGTGGCTTCTGAAATCATTCTGTAGAATTCTATGAAGTGTTAGGAGCCTGAGGCAGGAGGATTGCTTGAGACTAGGGGTTTGAGACCACCCTGGGCAACATAGCAAGACCCTGTCTCTATAAAAATAAACAAACAAACAAACAAATAAAAATTAGCTGGACATGGTGGCCATGCCTTCTGCAGTACTCAGAAGGCTAAGATAGGAGGATCACTTGAGCCCACGAGTTTGAAGCTGCAGTGAGCTATAATCGTGCCATTGCACTCTAGCCTGGGTGACAGAGTGAGACCACATCTCAAAAGTAATAATAATAAAATAAACACTAGGGATCTGAAGCTCCCAAACCCTGGAAATAAGTAGTTGCTTACTATCAAGTACAACTGCTTGCTCTCAGATGGGTCATTAATTCAGATTATGGGTTTCTCCTCTGTTGGCCTCCATAGCCCAAAACATCATGGCAGGGAAAGGCTCTGGCATCAGCCATGAGCTCATCAATCTGGAGGTCAGCTCCCCTGAGGTTCCGGACCTGACCATCATTGATCTTCCTGGCATCGCCAGGGTGGCAGTGGGCAATCAGCCCCAGAACATCGGAGATAAGGTAAGCCTTTCTAGGACTTGGGAGCAGGCCCAGTGGCAGTGGTGGGACTTCAGAGGTACCTACCTGCAGCCCTCAGGAGGCTGGTGTGCCTCCCTGAAACTTGACATTGAGGGATGTGGGAGGAGTCAGGGGCAGGACTGTCCAGGCAGGGGCCTCATGCTCAAGCTCTGACTTGGGTGTGGCAAGTCAAATCAAAACAAGACCAGTTGACTCAGGGGGACTGGTAGGCATGAGATAGTGCACACTCTGCCCACCATTGTCATGTAAGACTGTGAATCCAGTGTTACAAACTCTCTTGATATTCAAAAGAGAACAGAAATTTGGATTTTTACATGAATTCTGCCCATTTTAGTAACATTTTTAAAAATTCACATTACTTAAGTGAGTCGGATAATGGACTGTGATCTTGGTTGGGGGAGAAAAGGTCAGCTCGGTGGAGAGGGATAGTGACCGTAGCAACAGCAAGGACAAACTTAAACCAACAACAGTGCCACTGGACCTGTGACTTCTCTGCCATTGACCTTCCATTAAACCTAAGGTTGCCTGAGAACATAGACCTTGCTGGGATGCTTGAACCATGCATACTCCAAGAAAACTTGTGTGCACTCTCTGTTTGGGGTGAGCCAGTCCCAAGGCCAGCCCTGCTGAGTCTTCCAAGCCAGCTCACATGGAAACCAAGGAGACATGGTATATTCCAGGGACAGGGTATGCTGAGAGAAGATGAGACCTTCCTGTCCTAAGGTGGGGGTCACTTGCCTTGCCTTTTCCATTTTGTGGAAGACACTGCCAGTACTGGGAATTAAGGGCTGGCAGCCTCAAGAGCTCCTTGGTGTGATCTCCACTAGCTCTGATGTTTTGAGCAAAATATTGGATAGATAAATACATTCTTTCTTTTCCAACATCCAAATTAGCTCATTTTCCTTCCTGAGCTAAGGCACTAATTCCTTCAGCCATCAATTAGTTAGAATTTCCTAGAGAATGAGAAGGATCCTTAGGTGGAACTGGGCAGCTCCTGCCGCTCCATCTTTGCCTCCACTGGGGTCCATGTGATTTGACCAAAAACACTTTGAGCTCAGAAAATTTCATCAAGAGCAAGTTGGTTGAGATGGTAAAATATTGCTGGTATTTTCAGTATTGGGAAAATGTGTGAGCAGTGTCTCTAAGCCTTTCACTTGTGTTTCAGAATTCTCAAGGGGTGTGTCCCTCCACATCCCTTTCCTTCTAAGTTTTTGGCTCATTATCCTTGTCACACGCCCTATAGGTGGGTTAGTCACTAGCAGTGAGTGGTGACACAGTGTGTGTAGCAGGTGCACACTTACCAAACCTGGACCTGGTGATTAGAAATAATTCTATCTGATAAAGTTGCAGAGTGTGCCAACTTTAACAGTGGCAGTGCCAAACACTGCCAAATTAAGAAGAAAAAGCTTTTTTAAAAAAAAATTAGAAAGAAAAATATCCTACCCCAGTTTCCTTTCTTTGTCCAATTCCTGTTTAAATCATCGCAAAAGAAATGTGCTTTGTTATTGAAATTAATAAGCTAGAACACAAAGGATATACGTTATTTTGTGTCCATCCCTATTAACACTGAATATCTATTCCTGCAAGTAGTTTTCTATGTGTGTGTGTGTGTGTGTGTGTGTGTGTGTGTGTGTTTGTGTCTGTGTGCTCTAATATTTGGTAATCTGTCATAATTACTAAGCTAATTGCTTAATAACTCACTTCCAATCACTTTTGTTTGGCCATTTAGTTTGCTTCTATCTTCCTCCTACTAGAAACAACTGTAAAAATGAATCAGGGGCAATAAAAAAAAGAATAGGAGATAAAAGGAACTTCCGGGGAAAAAAGAAGCTAAAAAAGACTTTATATGATAAATGTGATAAAATGCCCTTGTTATTCACCAAAATTCCCTAAAAACAAATGACTAGTAACTACTTATTTTAAGTCAAATAGTCCTCTCAACTGACTTCTTGACCAACTTCTTTTTAACTTTTTTTACTTTGCTAGTTTTGACAAAATTACAGGCATACCTCAGAGATGTTTCTGATTTAGTTCCAGCCTATCTCAATAAAGCAAGTCACATGAATTTTTTGGTTTCCTGGTACATATAAAAGTTATGTCACACTATACAATAGACTATTAAGTGTGCAATAGGATTAGGACTGAAAAAAATATATACATAACTAAATTTAAAATACTTTGTGAAAAATGCTAACAATCATCTGAGCCTTCAATAAGTCCTAATCTTTTTGCTGGTGGGAGGTTTTGATGGCTGCTGACTGATCAGGGTGGTGGTGGCTGTGGCAATTTCTTAAAATAGAACAACAATGAAGTTTGCCACATCAATTGACTCCTCCTTTCATGAAAGATTTCTCTGTAGTATGTGAGACTGCTTAATAGCACTTATCCCTCAGTACAACTGATTTCAAAAATTAGAGTCGGTCCTTTCAAAACCTGTTGTTCCTTTATCAACTAAGTTTACCTAATATTCTAAATCTTTGGCTGTCATTTCAACAGTGTTCATAGCATCTTCACCAGGAGTAGGTTCAATCTCAAGAAACCATTTGCTTTGCCAGCTCATAGACAACTTCTCATTTGTTCAAGTTTTCTCATGAGACTGCAGCAATTCAGTCACATCTTCAGGCTCACTTTCTAATTCTAGTTCTCTTGCTGTTTCCAGCCCTTCTTGGTTACTTCCTCCACTATAGTCTTAAACCCCTCAAAGTCACCCATGAAGGTGGCAATCACCTTCCACACTTCAGTCAGTATTGATATTTTGATCTCTTCCCATGAACCACACATGCTCTTAATGACATCTAGAATGGCGAATCTTTTCCAGAAAGTTTTCAATTTATTTTGCCCAGATCAATCAGAAGAATCAGCAGCTATAGTCTTACAAAATGTATATCTTAAATCATAAGACTTGAAAGTTGACAGAATAGATGCTGTGTTAGCAGGTTTGAAAACAGCATTCATCTCCTTGTACATCCCCATCAGAGTTCTTGGGTGTCCAGCTGTATTGTCAATGAGCAGTAACATTATGAAAGGAATCTTCTTTTCTGAGCAGCAGGTAAACCGTGCTGTAAGCAGAACTGCTGTCATCCAGGCTTTGTTGTTCCATTTCGAGAGCAAAGACAGAATAGATTTAGCATAACCCTTAGGGGCTCTAGGAATTTTGGAGATACCATCCAAGAGTAGACCCTGGAACTGTGGGGTCTACACACTTGCAAACGTCAGTGGACAGCCACACAGATGCACCAGTGGGCATGAGCACGAGCAAGAAGACAACTTATTAACTTCAGGACAGTTAGCACGACAGCCTGCTCATCAAGGCTGCTTGTAATTTCACCCAGTTACATCTTCTCATGGCTGCCTTGGATCTGTTTATATTTGTCAATTGTATTTGACTCCAGCACTTCATTTCTTATATGTTGCTAGTTTGTGCTACCGGGATGAAGATTTCTATTTTTTAATGGTGCAATATTATCTTCTGTGTGCAATTTAAAATAATTATATGAGACAGTGTCAGAATACACCTATTTGTGAACTGTGTCAAAACATAAGGAAATACATCCCAAGGCGCTAGCCTTTTCCATGTTTGTTTGCTTGTATTTTCTGTGGGGAAAAATAATATTAAAAATTAGTATTTTAAGGCTTATGTTGTTTACATCTCTATTTTTGCTTACACATTCTAAGACATTTTATTGAATTTCTCTAATTTGAATGAGCCAGACCCGTTTCAAGAACAAGTTTACCTAAAATGTTATTAATATTAAGGACAGACATGTGTGGGCATATTATCGATCTCAGACAGTCGAGGACCTAACCGCTAGGAAAAATGTATCCTGTGCTCTTGATACTTGGTACTTCATTCTGGACTATGCATGGGGACACTGCGGCAAATAATACATCACTGATGGCCACAAGGGCATCTCTGGGCTTCTGGAGCAGACGCGGCACGTACACATGACTCTAATAGAAGGCAGAATTTCTGAGGCAGAATTGGGAAAGATCTGGAGAGGAAGGAGGGTCGCACCTGGCAGCCAGAATTAGAGGGTCTTCAGGAAAGAAGAAATGCCAGCGTTGGACTTGAAGGACAAGTGGGAAGTCAACAGACAGCAGGGCAGGGCTGCTGGGGTAGGCATGCCAGAGGAAGGGGACAGAATAGGTGAAGCCGGAGGTCACACATTGGGACAATGTTGCTTTTGTACTATTGTGCCAGTCTGTATGACTGTATTGTTGATGATCAGAGAGAGGTAAGATGAGTGCTCTTTCTTTGTGATTCTTTGGCATTAGATCAAGGAACTCATCATGAAGTACATCAAGAAGCAACAGACGATCAACCTGGTGGTAGTTCCCTGTAATGTGGACATTGCCACCACAGAGGCACTGAGAATGGCTCAGGAGGTGGACCCCGAGGGAGACAGGACCATAGGTAAGAAAAAAGAGCCATGCTTCTAGTGAACGGAAGGGAGGTAGAAATGCCTCGTCCCTTTGGAAGGGCCTGAAATATAGTGCTTTTGGAGGGGCCCTGCATTCTGTGCTGAACACAAAAGCTGTTGCACTTATTCATTGGGGATGACTTTTTGATGGCAAATGTAGCTCATATCATTGGCCCAGTAGATCTGTTTTAATACTAACATATCTATAGCAATTTAATACCACTACTTAATAATAGTCAGTTTTCTGGTCCTTTCATTTGCCACAAACTTAGATAACCAAAAGTTATCAATAAATGTTAGCTATTATTATTATTATGAATTCAGTCAATTGCTACAGTATAAGGTATACACAATTAGATTTTAGTAGAACTCAAAGCAATATGAGAACAGCAATGCCAATTTTCTGTGCATTCTAGGTCAAGTACAGAAATGGAGAAAAACATGCTAGTTTAAAATGGGAAAGGAACTACACCCATGGTCACAGCAGTGTTACTCACAGCAGCCAGAGGTGGGAGCAACCCACGTGTCTGTCCATGGGTTAACGGGTAATCAAAATGTGTCATATACATAAAATAGTATATGATTTAGCCTTAAAAGTGAAGGAGATTCTGAAACATGTTACAACATGAAGGAACCTCAAGGACATTATTCTAAGTGAAATATCAGTAAGAAAAGAACAAATACAGTGTGATTTCACTTTTGTGAGGTCCTTAGAGTGGTCAGATTCATAGAGAGAGGAAGTAGGATAATGGATGCCAGGGGCTGAGGGAGGGGAAAACAGAGAAATTGTTTGATGGGGCAAAGTTTCTGTTTGGGGAAATGACAAAGTTCTGGAATAGGATGGTGGGGATGGTTGTACAACAGCGTGAATGTACTTAATGTCACTGACCTGTGAACTTAAACATGCTTAAAATAATAAATTTTATATTGTGTATATTTTGTCATAATGCTTAATAGTAAATACTTCTTAAAGAAACAAGGTTACTGAAGGCAGAGTGAGGGGAAACTCCATATTTATATTAGTTGACTTATTCCCTTGTAGAAATAAATTATGTGTATTTCACTACCATTATTTTTATAAAGGAAATTGAACAACTCTCTATACATTACTTCCAAAGGATGAAAATAGAGCCAGTTAGATAATAGAGGTTTCTAGAATATCAAGTTTCAAAAAGAACAGTGAGTCAATATTTACAGGCTCCCCACCCAGCATTGGTAAATGCACATTGTCTACTCAGTCAGCTCCAGCTGGGTTTCTGTCCCCACATTAGACAAGGACTGCTCTTGTCAAGGTCACCAACACGTACAGTCACTTCTCTGTCCTTGCCT